GGCAGCTGATCGATGTTTCTCTCTCATCTATGTTTCTAACTCTCTATCTCGCTCCCTTCCTCTCTGTAAAAAATCAATAAAATATATTAAAAAAAAAAAAGAAATAAAATATTACCATTATAGGAAAAATTCCCAGTATACCATTCCCACTCCAAAGGGCATCATTATCCTGAACTTCTCATTACAATTTCTGTGGATTTCTTAATATTTTTATTGCAAATGTATCCCTAAATAATATTCAAAATTTTTACATTTTTCATCTTTAGATAAGCACTATCATACTTTTATTTCTGTATCTTGTTTTCTTAGTTGTTTATTTGTTTACCTTTTGTTTTTCTTAAGTTCAACATTATGTTAGTAAAAGTCCTCTATATGGGTGCCTGTAATCCTAGTTCATTAATTTTATTTTTTTATTGATTTCAGAGAGAAAGGGAGAGGGAGAGAGAGATAGAAAATTCAATGATGAGAGACAATCATTGTTCGGCTGCCTCCTGGTAGAGTATATGACACATAGTACTGGGGATCGAGCCCGCAGCCTGGGCATATAACCTGACCGAGGATCAAACCGTGACCTCCTGGTTCATAGGTCAAAGCTCAACCATTGAGCCACGCCAGCTGGGCTCTAGCTCATTAATATTCATTGCTGAACAATATATTACAATACATAAAAGGTCATGGTCTATATGGAGTGCCTCTCCTCATGGATCTTTTCTTCTTTCTTATTTGTTGCTATAACAAGCCATACTGCAATGAATACATACATGTCTCCTTGTGCATGTGTGTGAATTTCTCTAAGTTATTCTTTGAGAAGTGTAATTGCTGAATAGTAGGCTAAGCACATCTTTCTCTTTGCTGGATATTGCCAAATTGCTCTCCAAAGAGCGCAGTTCACTCCACAGCAGTGTAAATCAGTTCCCATTATTTCACATCCTTGTCCGTCTTTGGTATTTTAAGGATTACTATATTTTTTTTCCGATCGAATGAGTATGAATTCTATTATCTCAAGTGATTCGCGTTTCTCACAAGAAACCTCTAAGGGCAGGCTTGATAGAAAATTTAACAAACCCCAGATAATGTCTGCAAAATATCAAAAATCAAAAAATATGACCACCAGTGAGAGAACATGCTCTGCTATTTTGCTCCCC